CGTCCCTCGCAGGAGGGTGTTTGCGGCCGGCGGTATCGGGGAAGGGAGGACGGTCGCACAGGGGGTCCGTCGCCGCCACCATTACTCTCCTGCTAAGGCGGGGCTTTCTTCCCGCAGAAGATGTTCGTGCGCTTGTTGGGGTTCCTATACAGCACCTACTTTCGGTTTTGGGTGAAGTGGATCTTCAGGCTGCTGACGGGGAAATGCGAGTTACAGCGCCTCTTGGATGGCCCCAAGGCGGGCGCGCAGAGGACGCTGAGCATAGGTAACGAGGGGTGCGAGGTGGAAAGGCGCGGTCAGTCAGGTCCTCTGCTGGTCCCTCCCGGCCCATGGCGAGCCTGCAGGACAGCAGCCAAAAGGTGCACGACAAAACACGTCCTTGTGCCAGCTGGCAAGATGAGTGAAGAGGCAGCAGTGGGGCTTAGCGACCTTACACACCGACGGGCATTTTTAAAAGGCGGCTGGTTTACATCTTTAGAAACGTCGTGAAAAGCAATAGTTGGAAACCAGTCCCTGTCCCGAGTGTGGCGTGCGTCCTGTGGATCGTGTTTTCACAGTTCCCTTCTTCTTGGCTATTTTGTGTCAATTTTAAATAAGAATGCCAGATCTGGTGTTCTTGGCTGCTCAACAAGGTAATTCTAGTTAGCTTCAAAAAGTAAATCAGAAATCCTGTATTTTTCCTCAGAGTCTTCCCATTGCTCTATATATTTTTACCTTCCTGTTACCAAAAAAGCCACACAGAAAAGACCCGAATGGAGGGAGGAAGCGATTAAATGCAAAGGGCTGCTTGATGCAGAATTTTGCTCTGAAACAGTAATTTAAGAAACTACTTATTGCATTTGCTCTTTCAGCAACAACAGCTTGAGAAAGTGACGTTGCTTCCTTATTCTTCAGTAATAAACACAAAACATTGCTTAAGAATGGAAAAATATCAAGAGACATATTTTTGTCTTGACACCTTTTCAAATTTGTCTTTGTTTTTGTACATGTAACTGATCAATGCTTTAAAAAAATCTATTTTGTGCATTGCACTTGAGGATTATAAAAAAATATGTAAATTAAGACTTTTGGTTACTTGATACCCAGTGATTTTAAGATTGAGTAATTTTTTATTAATTGCATGTATAAAAGGGATGCAAAGTTTTATAATACTTAGGCGCCACAAGAGCACTTACTGCTGATTATTTAAAACAATTCGGTTCAATTAAACTGACTTTTTTTTGTATTGCAGAACATTCACTGGCATCATCAAAGAATAAGGTAAAAGATATTAGAGATTAAACTGTAATAAAACCTTCTTTCAGAGACAGATGCAAGAAAAGAACATGTGCGTTTACTTTTGGAGGGTGGAAGAAAATAGAGGAATAAAAGGCAGAGAGGAGAGAACACAGCATTTTGGGTTCTGTATGTTAGGTTTCTGAAAAATAACTCCATGCCCCTTAAAATGTTTGTTTCCATCTCTCTGAAAGATTACCTGCTCTTTAGCAGCAGGTCAGACGAGTCATTACACAGAGCTTCTGTTCTTGGAGAGGGTCAGTTCTCACCATCACGATAATTTTTTTGCTGTTCTTGAAGAAGCCAGAAATGTGATCTAGATAAATTGAGTATATCAAATATATTAATGTTCAGCTTTAAAAGTTACCTTTTGCTGTACTGAAATGAAGCTGCTTTGGCATTAGCACGAGTTGTATTACAGAATGCATTGTGACCATAAAAAGTTCAAGAGATGAAGTGAAATTGTGATTTCAAATGGGCAGTGTATAATTAACGTTACTAGATTTTGCCCTTTAGAAGACTGCAGAATAGTGATGTGTTATGTTAAGTTCTTTTGTTTCACCACAGCATTGAAACCCTGATTTCATTTGTTTACTGTCTCCTACTTCTGAAGCATTATTTCCTTATTGAAGTTTTGCCACTTGTGCTCCTCAATAGCTGCGTTTGTTTCAGTTGGATTAGGAAGAACATGTTTCAGTTCAGCAGTTGAAAGTAAGTGAGAACCTAGACTGAGCAACTCGAGGTTTTTTATTTATTCTTTATGTGACTCCTGTGTAAAGTTGGTTACAGTGTGACAGACTTACAAACCGTGCTTTTATGTAATTATTCCAGATCTTTTAGATGCGATTTGAGGCCATTTATTGTAAACATTTGCACTAAATTGACTGGTCTCCTTTTACAGTAAAGAATTGATACATGGCAGATATTCAGAGGCTGTTATGTAAGAATAAAGTGGATCATGGATTTCTGCATTCCTCACAAGGTCTTTTGCTGTGTTAACTTTCTAGGTTTTAAGAAATTCTGTACATGCTGATGAAGCTGAGGTGGAGAAATGTGTCAGAGATGTAATGAAAGAAAAGAAAATTGAACAGAAGGATGCAGGGTACGTTTGGAACCTGAACATAGGTTCTTCATGGCAGACAGTTCTGACTTCTTGGCGCATTCTTGCAGTTGCTTAATCTGATACAGTATTTTGTCCATTCAGCACAAATCTTTAGATTGAAATTAGGAGTATGGTTATGTTCTTTTCAGTTCTAGAAAATAAATTGCAAGGTTTTAATTGACATGAATTTGGGATAACGGCACCTCTTTGTTGCAGGTCCCTTCTGTTACTCCTTCCTTTTAAGTAATGTGATTATTGCATAGGTTGATTATGTGAACTATGTAATTGCTTAGATGTATTTTAGAAAGTATAGTGCATTAAAAATGAAACACTTCTCTGAAGCTGTAAGTATTTCTGACCAAGTTTCACTTTAAGACTTACAAAAGGTTTTGGGGTAGATGAAGGTACAGGGGTCAGGATGATATGCACTTTTCTTGTGTCAGCACAGATTTTTAAAAAGTTGGTTTTTTTCCTTCCATAATTTAAGTGAACAGGGCCCAACTGTGCAGCACTGGAATCAGCTAGAGGTTTTTTTCAGTAGAAATAAGATCCATATAGCTGTATACTTAGCCAGTATGCTGTAATTTGAAAGACAGATCTCAAGCACTTCCTAGTTTTAGTGTTTACCTTGCATTAACATAAAGAAAGGTCTTATCTGGTAGTTCAAGCAAGAATTTAAGGCTAACTGTGCCTCTTAATAGCTTCTGTGTGGTGTTTTGTTATTATTTCAGGTTTAAAACAAATCTGCGTATATCCTTACTGCAAATAACAGGTTATAAAAAGCTATACTTGAACGTGGAAAATTTGAGGAAGGTCCCATATGATTCAGATAATGAAGAACATGAGGAACAGTTAATTGAGGTAAAAATAATCTTTTAAACAGGGAATCGGGTTCCCCCATGCCCTTTAAGTCCAACTGCTTGAAGGAACTTAATTTATCAGTAGTATTTTTACCAGCTGGCCTGTCGCTTTTCAAGTTGTGAACTGATAAGCCATTATAGAAGCGACACATTAAAATACAATGTGAAAGCAATACAAATTAGTAAGATAGAGTTACTTGCACTGGGATTGTTTTGTGTGAATTCAGACAGAACAACAACACATAAATAGCAAAATAATTTTGTAATGGGTCAGTGAAGGATCATAACTGAAAAGGTATTTAACCTTATGCACATATAAACCAATAATTACTAAATAAAAAAATACACTAGTGTTTTCTTCGTACTACATCCCAGTCACTGTCAGACAGTGTAATGCTGGAAGATAACTATCAGTAATATATTGTAGGGAACAATAAATAATAGCAAGCAAATATCATATTGCTTGAGACTTTTTAAAATAGCTTCTACTGTGCAAATATATTAGTATGTCATTTTCTTAGCATTTCATAATTGTCTCAACTTGCTTTGCAAGTCCCAATATTGATGTGTTAAGTAAGGATTCACTGAAAATTTATATTCAGTTTATAGCTGTCCTATCAGAAAATAGTGCATAAATTAATCTCTGAAGTGGAACAAGCCTTTGCTGCATTAGTATTAATACAGTGGCTTTGTCCGCAAAGGAAAATTATCACATCTAATGTTAAATGTCATCATTTTCATAACTTCTGAAATAAGCCATTGTAGTGTGACTCCAGAGTGCCACTAACAGAAAAGAACAGCATGCATATTGTATCCTGTTCCGTGGTGAATGGTTTCTAATGTGCAGCAGCAAGTGTTCTGAATTACACGACTTGGCATACTTTAGCAGCTGTGTGTAATGTGGAAACATATTTGTGCAGCTTTGGAATTTGCTGATGCCTCATGAGAGTCTGAAGGCCAGAATCACCAAGCAGTGGTGTGACATTGGCTTCCAAGGTGATGATCCCAAAACAGACTTCAGAGGAATGGGCCTGCTGGGATTGGTGAATCTGGTGTAAGTGAAAGTATTTCATTTCCCTTGTAACTAATTTTTATTATCTATGTTTTCTCTAGTTGATGCTATTTCTAATAAAGACCAAATAGAAGCAAATAGAAGTGGTGGCTTCTGTACAGCGAAAAACGGAATGTTCTAAATAAGTCAATGTTTTTGGTGGCTGCACATCTGTAAATGTGTGGGCCAACAAGTGAGGGGAGGAGCAGAACGTTGCTCAAGATACCTTATTTTTTGTTGTCGTGATAGATTTGATAGGTTAGAACTTAGAAAGTAACTTGACAAAAGCTTTTTAAAATCCTGAATTAATTAGTGTAATGAGAAATAAACAAGTTTGCATAACTTTTCTAAGCTAATTTGTGGACTTGGGTGAACTTCATATTTGATGTTCAGATCACAATATTTGGGGTTTTTCTAACAGTATTAGTTAATGCTGAGTATAATTTAATCTGCTAACTTTTCCTTGGTTTTCATTTTGTGCCATTTTTCAGTGCAGAGTAGTATTTAGCTTTACTGTAAAGGTACACATTTTGATGTTGAAGACATTATTTGTTTTATATGAACTGTTTTACACTGCCAGGTATTTCAGTAAACATTACACCAATGAAGCTCGTCAGATCCTCTCTCGTTCAAATCACCCAAAGCTGGGGTAAGTCACTACATGACTTCCTGGCTTATTCTGTGTAAGAGCTCATGTGAAGAGTGCCAAGTGTGTGTCCTGAAAAGAAAGAGGAAAATATTTGTGTGTTTTTCCGTTAAAAGATTAAAAAAGGGTCAAAGTAGAAAGGCTTGAGAAACTGAATGCAGAAATTAATTTTGGGTTGGGAACTATGTGCAACTTTTGGTTTTTTTTCAGAGTAGACTTGCTGGGACAAAAACCGTTGCAAAATACTGGCTTTGGTTAACGCAGTGAAGACCTTTAACATCATATCTAGTTTTATTTGTGATCAGCTTAGATTAGATTTAGAAATGAATACTTAAAATCTTCTTACTGATACCATGTTGGGATGGTATAGATTATCATTTAAGATCCCCTTTTTGTTAGGTTTCTGTTCTGTAATAAGTATGCACAAATAGATGTTTTGATATCGTTCAACTTCATTTTTGAAAACTTTGCATATTCAGACATTGAGCTCATTTTACAAGGAGATATACTTTAAAACCAGTCAGATGCAGAGGAAGGCTGGTAAATGTGTATATATCCTCTGATCCCTCCAGTCACCAGTTAACTCTGTCACCTACCAAGAATGGGAAACGTTCGTAACTGCAGTTATAAATAATAATGCCTTGTGCAACTAAGTCCTGAACAGAATATCCAAGCCATTTAAATCAGTTAAATACCCATATCATTGACACAAATGAATGCATTTTTTTCCTTCCCTCAGAACCACTTGTTTTAAGAGTCCTTTAAGAATTAATATTGTGGTGCTTTTTTCTACCATGCAGCAGAAAAACCAGATTTTTTTCAGCTTGAAGAACATGTTGAGGCCATGCCATTCATACTGTAACAACATTCTGATGCCAGATTTTTAATATTGCAGTAGATTTAATTATTTCAAATGAGGAAATTGAGGTCCATGTTGATTAGCCTTGCCATCTCATTATTGCCTAAGGGAGGCATTTGTCGTACTATTGTATAGGAAACTAGAGTTTTTAAGTAACTTTTACATGGCTGGATGCACCAGGGAATGGAAGGAGTGGTCTGTAGGCCAGAGTCAGCTTGTCCACAAGGGTAGTAGGAAAAATTGACTCTTCCAGTTATCCGAATATGCGCTGTTTTTGGGAAGCTTTAAAGTCCTTCGATCCATAAGGTAAACCATGACCTATGATTGGTGTTGCAGATATTCTTATGCAATAGTTGGGATCAATCTGACAGAAATGGCATACAGCTTACTTAAGAACGGTGCTTTGAAGTCTCATCTGTACAATGTGGTCTCTGGATTGCCGCAGATGGAGCACTTCCATCAGTTTTACTGTAAGTGTCTGTAGCTTCTTCAGTACACGTTACCAGAGGCAGTTACCACGTTACCAATGGAAAGTTTTGGTTTTGTGCTGTGCGTTTCCACTCTTCACATTAGCCACAGTAAGCTGCTTATCTTCTAGATCAGGTATTGAAAAATGCATGTGATGCTTAACCATTGTGCTACAGAAGTGTGAATTTGAGGGGTAAATTTGGGTGGCTTTCTATATATTACAGATTGCAGTCTGAAAATTTAGTATTTGCAGATTAATTTTTAAATTCATTATTATAGTCCAAAAGCTTGCTGTTGACCAGTATGGGATACTCCCTATTTTAAGGGATTGAATAGACTCTAAAAGATTATTCTAGGTCTAGCTAGATCAAGGCAGAAAGTTGTGGAGGTAATTTTTGCAGATCTGTGTTTAATTTTCTTCACAGGTTATCTGGTTTATGAGTTTGACAAGTTCTGGTTTGAAGAAGAACCAGAAAGCATCATGCACTTCAACCAATACAGAGAGAAATTCCATGAAAAAATTAAGGGACTTCTACTGAATTGCGATGTGATACTAACCTTGCAAAGTACAAAGAAACCTTAACTCCTCTGCACTCTGAGGTTCTGCATAAGAAATGGAATTATGCATTTGGATGGAAGTTTTGCATGTTTCACCAAAAACTGTTTAACAGTAGAACTTTTTTACATTAAAAAAAAATCAAAATTCAGTTAAGAAAGCTTGGACAATCAACCTCTGTTTACAGGTCTTCATATGCTATTCTCCAAAGGACAGCTTTTTTAAAAAAACAAAGACCAACAAACCAACACAAAAAACCAACCCATGAGTCTAAAGAGCCTCTGGATCACTTGCTTTCACAATTTCTTTTATGCTTCTTGATGCAAGAACGTGAAGCAGGTATTTATGCCACATCATGTTTTCCGTTAATAGGTTTAGCTGTTAATTGTCTTTAAAAAACTTATTTTAATTGAAATTACTCTGGTTGTAGACTTTTTGTGTTGTGCTGTACATGTAGCTGATTGTTCACTCGTCAATGTTAAATTTCTCTGTGAGGCTTAATCCACCAACAGACTGATGTACTTACTAAAAATTACTTTTGGCTAAGGAAGTTCGTTTGTTTTTTTTATCTATGGATTCCTACCAGCAAATTCCTATTCTTGGAAAAAGCTTAGTTTGAAAACAAACAAAAAACCCAAATCATCAGTGTGAGGATCAGATCCTCAGACTAAAGCTACTCCTTCTAAAAATATTCCTACTCTAAAAATTTTCAATTCTTTCTAATCTGACTCCAGCTGCTCAACTTTGTGTCTGTTGCCAGACCTTTCTTTTAGCGGCTGATGGGGAATTCTCAGTGGGAAGTACAAGAGAGTTAGCTTAGCCCTTTTATAAAGTTCACTCATTAAAAACCTTTATTGCAGCTGCAGTCCCTATTTTGTGAAAATAAATTCAAATCTGAGTACATTAAGTCTCTAACAAAGATGTATTTTCCATGGAAGGGATGCAGCTGCAACATGTTCCTGAATCTTAGCATCCTCAGACAATCTAGTCAGTAGGACTTCATATCTATATTGTGACTAATTATTGCTTAAAGCAATTTTAAACAGATTTGGTATGACCATCACTTCGATTTCTAAAACCTACTATTAAATAAGTGCCTTCTGCTTTATTCAATCAGTATTTTGTTTTGATTCTGTAACCAGATCATAGCCTTAGAAGCTTGAGTTATTTGGGAAAGACTCTTTCAATATATATAACTAAATAGCACACAGTGGGACAAAATTTGTATGCTAATACAAGCTTTCATAGTTTCATTTTAGTTATTTTTTTTCTAAATCATCTCAGGTAAATTAGTTAACTTGTAGTCAGTGACTAAACATGAAGAGATTGCTGAAGAATACAAATATTGAACATGCAAAGAAAAAAACCAACCCTTTGTAATGCATGATGTTACACTACATAAGTATCAAATGTATTATCGTAACATGTAATACTACATCTCCTTGGAGATAATCAAAACCCATCTGGACATGGTCCTAAGCAAGCAGCCTGCTTTGGGCAGGGGCTGGAATAGGTGGTCTCCAGAGGTGCCTTCCCACCTCGGTAATTCTGTGTCTGTATTGTATTAACTAGAGACCTCTTGCACTGCATCCACCCACTTGCTCTAGATCCCTTAAGTGTTGGCGATTGCTTATTTGTGGGATAGCTCCTGATCAGGATAGACAGTATATACGTAGGAGGTAATGCAGTTCTGTTTTCTTCTTATGATACCTTGGGTATAGACAAGAGTTAAAGAATTGTTGAGTTTAACATGTGCAGGGTGGAGAAGGGTTCATCTCAGCTGTGTTGGGTTGATACTATTCTACTAACAAAAAGTACTGTGAAGATGCTTGTAGAGAGTATTTATGGTTACGCCATGGCTTGTGAGCTGAACAGCTAAGCTGACTGAGTTGGACACAGGACTGACGACCGCAGGCAGCCTGGTTCTGTTGCTGCTCCCAGGTACTTGGGTCCTGTAATTCTCACCACTGAAAGCTGAGATCCTGTGGAGAGTGTTCTGGGATTCAGAGCCTGTGGTGGAGCTCTCTTCTTCTCACCCCTGTAGATATGGGACGTTCCCAAAAAATCTGAGGAAGGAGGTAGAAAGTGGATTCTTTCCAGTGGCTGAGAAGTTTGTTGTCTGTTACGTTCTAGCCCCAGCTTCCTTCATGTTTGTCCTCATTAATAATTTTTGCTATTGCTTGTAGATCTCCTTTGTAAGCAACATGACTGACTTTGAATTTCAGAAGTGATTCCAATATGTTTAGCAGCAGCAGGAAAGGAGAACCCATTCTTTATTTTCATCTACACTTGCTAGCAAGTAACAAAATTGCCTGAGCCATCTCTCTCAAACACTCTCCCGTGCTAGAGTCTGCAACCTTTCTTTTTTTTAATGGCACCGATTGCAAAAATAATCTACACCCTCGTCTTTCCAGCCTTGAACCTTTCACTTGGTTCCTTGTTCACCAGGAGACTGATGTTTAACTACTGGTGAGGCTTTTAAAGCCCAACCATCAAGTTGCAGATTTCTGGTAACACACCTAAGGTTTTAGTGTAGAACGTAGACTGAGCCCAATGCGAGATGCGTCTTAGTTACCTTTTTTTTTTTTTCTTCTTCCCAATTAGAGTGTGAGCTGGGAGTAAACTGTGGCAATATACAAGGAAAAGAGTAGACCCAGCCATCAGACAAGTTCCAAACATGGGAATGCATTAGTTTGCATGTATTAATCAAGGTGAATATTTATGTTAGGCTCCAATACACTTTCCTGGTGAACAGTTAGAATTTGCATGTAGTTTTGTACAATCAGGTAGCCCAGTCCTGCTGTCCAGGAGTCATGCAGTAGATGTAGACTAGTACTGGGTTTTGCACCAGTGGTAGGCTAATTGTATTATGGTGGTAGCTAGAATATACGGAAAAAGGTAAAATTGTGTTTAGGGCAGAACAGTGTTTTGCTGCTCAGTGGTATTTTATACTAACTCTGTTGTAGGGTGACAGTCCTAAGGTTACAGAAGATTCAAACTGGAGGTTGGCCACTTTTCTGCAAGTTGATGTAATCAGTTTGTGTAACATCAGAATTTGTTGCTCATGGTTTATTCGAAGAGTCTTAAGACCTTGCTAAATTCTTTTGTTATTTATTAACTGTCATACTTTAAAGTATGTATTGTCTTACTAGAACTTGCAAGTATTGTTAGTTTTTTAACTTGCTGCCTATATAAAGCATTCACTATGTGAAAGCTTATATGCAATAGTAATTTTAGAAAAAAATCTGAAACTGAAGACAACAAGGTGGTTCTCTAATCTGTTGTTCTTGTAGCAGCTGTTTAACAAACTACCTCCACTTTTGAACCATGGTGCCACTCCATGAACAGATTCATCTGAAGATAAGCAGATGTTTACCATAAGCAAAAGTAAAATCTAGTCTTTCAGTAAACTAACACATTGCTTCATACGTAACCAACCTGACTGGAAAGTGTGACTTGAAGACAGTGCTACTTGGGAGGAAAGAAACTGAGAATGTTTTAAAACTAGTGTGCTTCTGTCCCTGATAGAGCAGTGTAAAGAACAGGGCATTGTGCCCTAAAGGACGATAGGAAAGGGGGCCAATTTAAGCACCTCACAGAAATAGTTTTGGATTTTCAGTCTTCGAAAAAAAAATAATTTAAAAAGGCAAACAAAAAATAAAACACAGAAAGCCTCAAGCATTCATTTTTCAGATTTTCCATCATGGTTTAAATAACAAACACTTTACAAAAAACTATTGGTTAGTCTTGTTTTAAGAATTACGGTGATGAAAAGGTTTGTATTTAGGTAGGTGGGAGTTCAGCAGTTGGTATTCTTGGAAATACTGCTAGTGAAAAATAGATGTAACCTGGTGTTTCTTTCTGTCGTTCTTGTTTTGTGTCACTGTGGTAAAATGGTGATTGATCTCTGGACTGATGTTTCTCATGCCAGTCTGTATTTTGTCTCTTGCTAGGGATGAGAAGAAAACAGCCCAAGACAGCTTGTGGGCAGTTTCTTCTTACCACACTGTGCTTAGATAGGTGTGTACTAATAGAAAAATCTGTTTACCACAATATAAAAGCAATAATGTAAACCGTGCTGTCTGTGTAATGTTAAGAGATGTTTACAACGGTAGCAAATAAAGAATGAGTTATTCTAAAATATTGTCGACGTTAGTGTGTTATGTATGGCCTGCTGGAAAACATAACAGTTTCCAGATAGCCATTCTGACAGGTCATGCACTTGCACTGTGATATGAGGGAAAGCTTTATCCTATCTTTTTTTTTTTTTTTTTTGGTCTCCTCCAGCTATGAGAAATTGTTTACAGGTCCCCAAGGTTCTGGTACTGAGCTTGTGTTTGCTTTTCCTAAGAACACTGTAGCACAAATGGTAGAAAGGGCAGCCAGCAGAACATCTGTGCACATGAAAGCTCAACTGGAAAACACAACAGCTGGAACAAATGCAGGCTGGCTCACTTATATTTCCTACTTTTGAAATCATCATGCAAGATACATACCTTAAATCAAATGCCAAAAGAAAGGAGTAAGATTTAAATCTGACCTTAAATCCATACAAAAAGTGTTTATCTCTCAAGATTGTTCCAGTACCATACAGAGACAGGGTTACATGCAAGCCTACTTCAAGTCAGTTCAGGAAGGACAGGGAACTGCTTGAAAGATTCCAGCGCAGAGCCACAAAGATGATGGAGGGAGTGGAGCATCTCCCTTCTGAGGAGCGGCTGAGGGAGCTGGGTCTCTTTAGCTTGGAGAAGAGGAGACTGAGGGGTGACCTCATTCATGTTTATAAATTTATAAAGGGCGAGTGTCAGGAGGAAGGAGCCAGGCTCTTCTCAGTGACAGCCAATGACAGGACAAGGGGCAGTGGGTGCAAGCTGGAGCACAGGAGGTTCAATCTGAACATGAGGAAAATCTTTTTCACTGTGAGGGTGACAGAGCACTGGCACAGGCTGCCCAGAGAGGTTGTGAAGTCTCCTTCTCTGGAGACATGCAAACCCCGCGTGGATGCGTTCCTGGGGGACCTAGTCTAGGTGACCCTGCTCTGGCAGGGGGGGTGGACTGGATGATCTTTCGAGGTCCCTTCCAACTTCTAATATTCTGTGAAATCTTACATCTGCTGCACAGGCAGTTGTACAACAGGAAAGTCCAAGTTTGACAGGCATTACGAATTCGTGGGTATTATGGCCTTTAACATTCCTGCACACCCCCGACCTTTGTT